TTCATGACCACAGTCCCGTCTTCTATAGAGGTAACAATTGTGGGAAGAGCAGGACCTGCTTCCTCGTAGGAAAAAAACAACCACCTCTGTCCACAGACTCTCCACCTTTTCCTCACTGAGTGGTAGCCCCTGACATTATTGTTTGAAATTTGTCAGAGCTACCATGAAGGCTGGACTAATGTGAGGTAATGGAGAAAGAGGCCCCCCGCTCCGCCATCCTGGCTTCCCTTGGCAGGCATCACACAGTCTTTCAATCAGTGTCAGGATCCAGGATTCTGAGGTATCACAGCCTCCTCCCCTTTATCCTTAGGCTGTTTAGTTGTTACACATTTTGAAAAGAGGAGTAGGTTAGAGTTTTGCCATGCAATTTGGGGACAAAGTACCATGCACGTAACCAAAAGAACAGTTACTTTGCTTTAGTTTGCTTCTCTTGTCTGGATGTCCCTGAGTGACTTCTCTTGGGCTGGAGAGAGGCACAGCTGGGACAGGCCAGTATTTAGGGATTCCTACTTCTCCTAGGAAAAGTGGAAATTCTGTATACCTTCTAAATATATCCCTTTATTATCCCAGTTTCTTAAACAATGTAAGGATAAAACTTGAGATCTGATAATCGGCTGTGAAAAATTTAAAATAGAGAAGGCCAAAGCCATGAAAAATCCAGAGGTGGCTTCACAGATATAAGTGGTAAGGAATAATACACAGTACACTCTTTGTGCTTAGAATTGTTCCTTTTTTTCCCTGTTTGGTTCTGTTTTCCATTTATATTTAGAAATTAACTCTCTCATTTTATTAGTTAAAATAAACTCTTTATATACATGTGAACATATCCGTTTGAGCTTGTTAATGACCCATGCATAGAGTTGTTCATTTATAGGTCACTGTCCACTACAAATCTCAAAATGAAGCCAGTACTAATTATTTGGTAGCTGGTCAAGACTCAGCTAAGAGCAGGAACTAAACAGAGCATAGTTGAAATTAATGCATCCTTGCTCGTTTCCCAAAGGACTTGCAATCACTCTCTTAGGAACCTGCTCTAAAATCTCAATCTGCCTCAGATGAATAGGACCTGTGACGCATACCGCCTCCCTGGCTCTGACTCTCTCCATTCTCTACTCCCCTTAACCTTCTCTTTTTACAAGAAGACATACAAGTACTGCCAAGAAAAATACAACGAACTGCATCTTGGCTACTGCCTGGAAGCATTTCCCCTAAAAGAAAAACTTAGGAATGCTTATTTCAAAGACAAATACTCTAAAAACGCATTTGAAAATAACAGTCACATTCAGAAGAAGATAGTAAATTTGGGCAAAACCAACCGCTTTCACCTACCAATCATTTCCAGGGAGTCTAGAGAGTTCTAACCTTTTTCACAACCCTTTCATGTCAAGAACCCATGTAAGATTAGGAAAGGCTGTCCCTCTGCATCCACCCGGAAATGGTGGAGCCACACAACGCGTGGCTGAAGTGCTGGAAGTGACTCCTCAGAGATGCATACGGGGACGGTGGCAGGGCTAGAATACAAGTGGTAAGAGACAAGGACTAGAAAAGAGGTCTATGCTTCTCTTTCTAATCTAAGAGCTGGGCATACGGGCAACAGGAGCAGTTTAGCTCATCACAATAGCTCCTTCATGTGGGGTTGCCAAGTAAAAGTACAGAACACCCAGTTAAATCGGAATCAAACACCAATTAATTTGACTCTCGATTTTTTAGCGTTGGTCTAGACTTGTGCCCTGAACCCTAGGCCCTAAACAACAAATTGCTTACTTGGTATCTCCACTTTAGTGTGTATTAGGCATTTTAAGCTCTCCACACGGAAACTGAGCTCCTGCTCTGGGCCACCACCCCCACCCCTGCCCAGGGCAGGACCTGCTCCTCCTGTGGTCGGTCATCAGCCTGACCCCACATAAGGGTATACTATTTCTCCACTGCTCGAATCAAATTTGGTATCATCCCCTATTCCTCTCTCATACCTTACATTTATGTATATAGGATCATAGCAAATCAGAGGAACTCTATTTGATACTTCTGTAAACTTGAGGCTAGATAACAGGTTGGGGCACTACAGTTGATAAAGAAATATGCTCCCAAGGACTTCTGCACAGAGCTTCTCCTGGTCCAGAGAAGTCTCTTCCTTGGCCATTTTTGCCTCTTGTCACATGTGTTTCAACCAACCAATAAATGACCCTGCTTAAAGAAGGGCAAATGTGGCAACATCTTCAGTAATTGTACACTCAACCAGCCCAAGGCTTTCACTTTCACTTCCAGCACACCTTAAAATGCGCAGTGAAAACATCTCCCTATCTGAAACCCCCACCCTGGTTATTAAATGAAATGGTTACCTTTTCACTTTTAGAGCAACAGCTTCTAGCTTTCTGGACTTTTTTTTTTTCTTTTTAAGATTTTATTTATTTATTTGAGAGAGAGCACAAGCAAGGAGAGCTGTAAAGGGAGAGGGAGAAGCAGGCTCCTCGCTCAGCAGAGAGCCCAACCCTGGGTTCGGGGAGGGGGGCTCAATCCCAGGACCCTGGGATCATGAGCTGAGTTAAAGGTAGACACTTAACCAACTGAGCCGCCCAGACATCCCCTGGACTCTTTTTTTTTTTTTTTTTTAGCTTTCCAGCCTAATTTTTTAGCCAACCCAGACCAGTAAGTATTTTCTCATTTTTTTTCCATCAGCGGTTACCCTCTGAGATTCTCATCAAGGAGCACTGGTTTTCTACTCTACTGCTAATGCATGACATGCCGTAGGTGACAGAGATGCTGGGGAATAACAGTCAAAGCAAAAATGGATTATTGGTTTATCAATGTCTTCAGATATTTAAAGTCCTAGGCCTGGTGCTCAGCAGAGTCAAATTGGAAGGTGGTGTTTTCTGTCACCCAGCTATGTCATAGTGTCAGCAGAGACTTCTCCTACATTTCCAAAATTGACCATTATGATGAACAATGTAATTTATAAAAGTGACTAGATAAAAAATGATATAGGTAACCACGTAAGAAAAATAATTTAAAAGATGAAATAAAGAAATAAACTACCTTGACTCCCTCTACCAAATAATCAAAGATGGTTATAAAAGTTAAGATTCAAAAAAGTAGACAGCAATAGACATTGTTTCTGTGGGACACAAAGAGGGATAAAGTTCTTAAAAGAGATTTGAAAGTGATTGCATTTGACATAGAAAAGTTTATTGTAAAAGTTCAATTTGGTAAGTACTTCTCTACTATATTGACACATTATCTCCATATCAGTCATTTTTCATAGCCTTCATATTTTGAGGGAAAAATCAAATCTGAATGGATGATCTATTTTTTTTTCTTTTTTGTACATTTCAATGTCAAAAGTTTCCATGCCTTTCAAAGAACATAGCCTGGCATGTTTTCCTACACTGCTATGCCCAGGGTCTCTGAAATTTTCTGAAGATTCTGACATATAACAAAATATAACTTTCAAGCTAGATAAAAAATAATTGAGTATTTTTTTAAATGTCTGCAGCAAAGTTATTAGCTCCCTAAAATAAAAAGGGTTGTACGGACAGCCTGTGGAGGCAATTTCACAGGTGCCTAGTCAAAACTGTGATACCTAGAAGGCTGTTTAATTCTTTTTTTTTTTAATTCTATTAAATTCATCAAGACTACTTTGAGTATTCTGAGTTAGTGGAGTTTCCGCTCATTTCTTATAAAGACCTTCCCATTGTCAGTTTTCTTCCCACTGATGAATTTACTAACTCTGAATGCAAATATGTCACTTTATCCCATCATCCTCTGGACAGTCTCTGAGTAATGGCTTTCCTAAAAGGCTGTGCTTTTCCTAAGATAACTGAAATGCTTTAATCCTGATATTGTATTAATCACTTCCAATAATCAATTTGCATTTGAATATTGTATTTAGTGATTCTCTCAGGCCATCGGAAACACGAAATCTGCACATGACAGCAATCTTACAATTCAAAACATTCCCCTGCACATGTCACTAAAAGGAAAACTACCCACCCTGAAGTATAGCTATTAATGTCAAACAGATTGTCATCTGGGAAAACAAAAATGCATAAAAATCAGCTTCGGACAAAGTATGGCTCTAGGGAAAAACACCAGGTTTTTGTGTGCAAATGTCTTAAATGTCTGATTGAAACGGTTAAAGAATGAGTTAGCAAGGAATCTGCTGCTGCTCTCCATATCGCAAAATAATGTTATAACGAAAACAGTTTCAGAGCTAAAGGGTTTTTCATCATAGCACACTATGATTTTACCGAAGATGCATTTGCCCCAGTTTCTAGTAAACATTATAAGAAATGTTTGGTTTCCAGCTTGGGCCGAGGGCTCTATTTAGCCTATCAAGGCACAGACCTGTTAAAAACGCTGGGGCGCTTGCCAGAATTTTTTTTTCCCTGCAACTCTTAGTAAAGATCGTACCTCGAAAGCAATGTGCGTTGCAAACCACGCAGATTTAAGCTCCCTCTCCCGCCTACACAGCTTGGCATCAGCGGCTTCTGAGATATCCCTCGCCTTCTAAAACTCAGACCGAATCGCCACCACCACGGCCCACCTTTCCACCACCACCATGCCACAATCTTTACTCAGCTCTCCCGAGCCCAGTACAGAGCGCGCCCGAAGCCCCTGCAGAGTGAACTCGTGGTGCCACTCAACTCCCCAGCCCTGCGCACAACCACAAACACACTCTCCTACTCCCTCCGCTGCAAACTGCCCCCCAATTTGACACCCACCTCACCCCTATTACCCATTAGCCCCCCCCCCCCGTCCCTGTCGCTTTTTCTCTCCTCCTGGTGGCTTCGTCCCCAACACACCTGTCTAATCCTATGGCTGCCAGACCTCAGGTGCCCACGCTGCGCCCTATCCCGCGCCCGATCAATCCAACTGGCGCTTCCCACTCCGCCCAGTGGAAAGTCAGTGTGCTCGCAGCACCTTCTACCCCACCCGCGTGCCCACCCGCAGACCGCCCCCGACTCCCACCCTCGTCTGCGCTGGAAAAGGAGCGCCCGTCGTACCTGTCGAGAGCGCGGCGGCGGTGGCAAGCAGCAGGAGAGCCTGGCGGAGCGCCGCGCACAGCGCTCGGGTCATGGCCACCAGGCGGCCGCGCCGAGGCTGCGAGGTCCCAGAGCGGAGCTAGGCGGTCGGGACAGCGCGGGCCGCTTTGAAGTTCCCGGGGCGCGGGAGGGAAGCACAGCCCCGTCACCCTTTTGAAGAGCGCGGCCGGCTCTAATCCATGCGGGCGCCCCCGTCTTGTGCTTTCCCCATCCTTCGCCCCCCGCGGCTGGCGGTGCGCGGCGCTCCTGCCACCGGCCCCAGCAGCCGGCTGAAAGAGGGGGCTGGGGGGGGGGGGGGCGGACAGACCCCGCCCCCGCCGCGCCTCCGCGCCTCCGCCCCCTGCGCCCTCTCGCAGCCGCCGGGGGCTGGCGCTGCCGGCCAGGCGGGCAAAGGCGGCCCAAAGACCAGGCAGTGAGACTGCCCAGAGCTGGGGGCAAGAGAGGGGGTTGGGTAGCGCGGAACCCCCAAGACCCGAAAGCTGGGAAAAGGGTCGAGACGCGAGGGAAAGCCCCACGGAGGCTTTAGGAAGACTTAAACCCTGCCGCAATTGCTTCCTGGTGGTCGCTCTACAGTCTCCTACAGAAGATCCACTCGTCCATATCTCTTGACATTCGTTTGTAGTCCAGTAGCCTAAAGATTTTCTAACTAGAGTGAGCCTTGTTACAACCCCAGGTAGTCCTGCGGGGCTCGTCCCACCACCATGTCCTGGCTGTGCACGCGTCTGTGGAAGGGCGCCCTCTCTGTTCAGCCCTGGAAATAACCAATTCCCCGACTGTCTTGTCTACCCATAGTTGTCAACTTTCTTACCTGATGCCTTCCAGCGAGCCCCCTGAACAACACACAAAGCCCAAAAGCCACTATTGGTATTATTGCCACTCTTAGGGGGCTCCTTGAAAATCGATTATCATATAAATTAATTGCTTGAGAGTAAGAGGTATTACTGGCTTCCTCACCCACCTCAGCTCTAAATAGAGTGTCCTTTCTAAGGTCTATGAAAGTCCTATGGTGAAATAATGTATATAATTGATTTCACCATCAAAAGATCACAGTAGTGGGGTAGGATGTTTGTTGGATTTGGTGACAGTCCTGAGGATCTCACCTTCACCATCACCACCTTGGATGAATCAAAACATTCCTAAGAGTAGAAAGACTTTGTTCTAATTTTATTCTGGATCCAAGCAAACAACAACAAAAAATGGAAATGTGGGACAAGACTGAGCCCTTTCAGACACCCACAAAACAGATGCTTTAAAAAAAAGACAAGAAAATGCTAGGACACATTATATTTTGGCTGACTTGGTTGGCTCATTATTTGATAACTGAACCCTAGATTGTGATCTACCATTGGATCATGAGATTTGGAGCTGAAAGAGCAGGATTTAGTGTCTGTGCCTGCTTACTCAAAAGTAAATGGAACTTCATCCCTCCCTATTTCTCGGAACCATGACTGGGATTTAAAGATGTGACTGTGAAAGCACTGTTAAACCATCAGGTATTATACTAATGTCAGGTATTTACTTTTAATATTTATTTTGTCTCTTGAATACAGTAAGCAACATCCTTGCATGTCAGAAAGCTGTTATTTTCTAAAAAAAAAAGCAAGATTGTTACCCAAGAAGTCTAATGTTGAATGACTTTAATATTCTAAACAAACCCAACACTGTCCCCTGAGTCTAATGGTGCACTGTCCACTATGGTATTCACCAACTACATTCTGTGGTACCACTAGCCACGTGTCGGTAGTGAGCACTTGAAATGTGTCTAATCCAAACTGACATGTGCTATAAGTATCAAATACATGCTGGATCTCAAAGACTTAGTACAAAATCGAATGTAAAATGTATCATTAATAACTTTTATATTGTTTATGTCGAAATGATAATCTTTTGGAAGTATTGGGCTAAATATATTACTAAAGTTAATTTCACTGATTTCTTCTCACTTTTTAACATGCCTACTAAAAATATTTAAATTACATATGGCTTGCATTATATGTCTATTGGGCAGTGCTGGTCTAATGAATCCTCATCAAATGGCAAGGATCATCACCATCACCTTGGTCTTAGGCACAGTATAAAAAAAAATGAGTTGTCGGGTGCCTTGCCAGTCAACATATGGCCAGCCAATAAAGGAATCAGGATTTTTGAATTCTTGGCCCAAAGTTCTGACATACACACCAAAAAAAAAGGTTAGTATGTCAAAAGCTAAGGACGTAATTTGTAGAAGTATTTTAAACTTCATCTTCAAATACCATTTCCTTCTGTCCTCTTGTGCATATTTTTCTTCCAACATCAATACTATAGAAGCTTTGAAGTAAGGAGTTAGTCATTCTAAATGTATTGAACCCCAATGGCTGGCAAAGTATTTTCTTAGGTAATTATAAATATTTCTGGTATGTTTGACTTTTTAACACCACCTTCATGGCAACCAAGAAAAGAACTTAATCCTCATAATGTGTCCCAATTTTTACTTAAAAGAGTATACTTTATTCACACACACACACACCCCCCTAGAGAAATTAATCCAGTCTTAATCTAATACATTTTTTAAAAGATTTTATTTATTTATTTGACAGAGAGAGACACAGCGAGAGAGGGAACACAAGCAGGGGGAGTGGGATAGGGAGAAGCAGGCTCCCCGCTGAGCAGGGAGCCTGATGTGGGGCTCGATCCCAGGACCCTGGGACCCTTTGGACCTGAGCCAAAGGCAGACGCTTAACGACTGAGCCACCCAGGCGCCCAATCTAATACATTTTTGTATGAACTATTATTAAGAAAATATTCTTTGGAGCATATTGAGTGACTCCTGTCATTTAATATAAGCAACACAATGCATTGTTGAAGATATGATATAATATAACACATCTTTTACATATTTTGTACATAACAGAAAAAAATTCATGTGTGAGGCTTTTTTATTCACTGGAAAGAATTTATATGCAAATGTGTTTCTCAGGATTTAACCTCCCCCCCCCACCCTTAATCATCTATTTGTACATATTCATTACCATAGCAACATTACATCATGACTCCTGGATTCTCATAATCAAAAGAAAACAACAGCAATAATCAAGGAGTTCATAACCCCCCAGCGAAATAGACTTTGGTTGAATAACTCTTACATAACCAAGGGGAAAAAAGTATAGGAACTTTAAATTGTAACGACTTGATACATTTGCAGACTAACATTCCAAATTAATAAGGCAAACAAATGTGTATAATAATTGAACTTTGAAAATGACTACTTGTTGGTATGGTTGTTTGGGATTTTTTTTATCATACATGTTTCTTTTTTTGTTATCTTTTCTAGAATCTCCAATGCCATGCATCTTAATTTTTCATTTCATCTTGGAACATGAACTTATCATGGAATGAGCATATGGTGAGGAGGCATACTACGATAATTTGCTATATACTATCAAGGTCTAATCTGTTCTCATTTTACTGCATTTTTCTTTCCCTAAACTCATATTCTCCCTCAAGAAGCCTATGACACACTCATTTCCACTCATCTCATTTTGTAATCCCAGAAATCTTTCTATTAGGGGACCCCGGCTTCACTTCTATTCTCGTCCTTCTCCTTTTGATTGTTCATTCCATTCCATGAGAATAATCATCGGCTTTAGGACCTTTATTAAGGTTCTACAGTATGTACCTTCAATCCGTCTACCTCATGGGACAGCTCAGGTCTCATAAAGAAGAAAAATAATGGCACCTCTGTAGACATGATAATGGGGGGCATCAAACAGTTTCTTTGCTCCACTGTCACTGCTAAAAGCTTAAAGTCTTTAAGTACTTACATTATCTGTTTTCACCACCTTCCAAAATGGCTGCACCCGTTCCCCGATTTTCCATATCCCTCTAATACTATTCAATGGTCTTTCCACATAACTCAGACTTTGTCTCAGTTTTCCCATCCACTGACCAACGTCAGTGTGCTGGGCTGATTAGCTGCATTTGATACAGGCTCTGTCTGTAAAATACAGTTCAGAGTTTCAGTTCCAAGTAAGCAGGCCACTACTACCTGGCACATTTCCTTAGAAAGGGCCCCTATAATTATACTGTACCAGAGTGAGGTGACAAGGAGTTGAGAGAGTTCTAGGACTCAGTACAAATCCATCCCTTCCTGAGTAAATAACTAAAAAAAAAAAAAAAAAAACACAGTTATTTCAATACCAGCCAAATCAACACTGGCGTCCTGATGACCTTGACTCAAGCAAAAGAGTAGTCTAAAGCTGCTGTGTTGAAGGTGGTAACCACTAACCCCTTGTGGTTCTCGAGTACCTGAAATATGACTAGTCTGATCTCATAGGTACTGTGAGTGTAAGATATACACAAGATTTCAAAGTCTTAATACCCCAAAAAGTCTCGCTAATTTTTAAATTTAATTATAAATTGACATGATAATATTTTGGATATATTGGGTTAAATGAAATATATTATTAAAATCAATTTCACCCCTTTTGCCTTTGAATGCAGCTAGTAGGAAATTTAAAATTATGTATATGGCTTTCATCCTATTTTTATTAGACAGGGTTTACCTCATGAATCGTCATCAGATGTCAAGGAACTGTCATTTTTCCTGCACTTAAAATGGTAGGAGAAACAAGACCTTTCTTCCAAACACATAGTTCCAACACCAATTATCTTTTACTCCTTTCATTTCTTCAACAATGACCCACATTCAGTCAATAATAAAATCACATGTATTTTTCTTTTGTGTTGTCCATTGTCATTCACACTGCTATTTCCAAAGTTCAAGCCCCTAGCATCTTCATTACCTGAGTTGTTATAATTACCAAGTAAGTTGCCTCCACAACTTCATGTTATCCCCATCATAATGTATTCTCAAGACTGCCATCAGAATAGCTTTCTATTAACATGATTCTGATTATGTTTTCCCCTGCCCTCAAATCTTTAATAATCACCCTTGCATATAGAATCAAGGCTAAATTCTCTAGTCTGCTGGTTCTCAGACATTTTGATATGATCCTTTTATACTTCAAAAATTCTGAGGACCCCAGAGAGCTTATGTTTAAGTGGGTTATAACTATAACATTTATCATATTAGAAATTTAAATTGAGAAATTTTTAAAACACAGGCATACCCAAGCACA